GCAGCCGTGCTGTGCCTGAGGGGTCAGAAGCTGTGACCCTGGGCTGAGTGAAAGTTGCTTTATGGCTCCGCCACCCTGAAATTTGTGGTTTCAAACAAAAATTTTCACCCCCTGTTCTCCAGAAATACAAACAGGAAAATTTCCATGATTTCTTGTCCCCTGGGAAACCACCTTTTGCTCCAGATGTTGCACGGGCTTTTCGAACAGCACTGATAATTGCTAAGGTTTTGCAAAGCACAACCTCTAGGCGGCAGTGGCGATGGGGAAGACAGCAGAGCAGGAGTGTGCCCTCACTTGGTGCTGCTGAGAGGTCATCAGAGGCTGGCAAAATCAGTCCTCACCTGGCTATGAGTACTCTGCCATTTGCAAGTTGAGATCCATCACGTGCTGAAACCAGGCAGTTGTATATGAAAAGCGAAGTCCTGGTTGAAGTCCAGAACGTTTGTGCTTCACTCCACAATCACGTTTTCAACACCTGAAGGCAAACAGATTGAGCTGAGCACACTACAGCTTTTTAAGACCAAATACACAATTCTGATTTATAATCTCAGTAGCCTTCTTCCAAACTCTGAGTACCTGCAATGAAGTCAAGATTCATATTATCCCTGCCTTTTGCACTGATGAATGCTGCCAAACTGCCCCCTTCATGGTGACCAGCTGCCATCTCATGGGTCGTAATTAAATTAAACACTTACTGATGTGCAGAAAATCACACTGTGAAAAGCCAGTGTTCACAAAAAAGACAGAGGAATCTTGCAACTTTGGCCGTACTTGGCCATACAAGTCCATTTGGCCCTACTTCCATGGGGTCTCTCTCAAATTTTTGGAGGACACAGCCTCCTTTTCTCCTAAACTCCTGGCTGCAGGTTGCCCTCTTCCTTTCCCCATTAGCTGAGGCACTAGGAAGGTAAAGACTTCCCAAACCACCTACTACATATTGCCTTAAAGTTTAGAAACTCAAATTATCTAGCTACTTCAAAAAATGCAGCTTAATATTCATTAAGACATTATGGCCCATTTCGAAGACATTAACATCCATTTCTTGTAAAATCCCCCCAGCCATTCTTTCAGAACTTGATTGGTTCTTTCAGCTGGAGTTCTTTGTGAAGACATTGAGACCCATTTCTCCCATTAGCAATTAGCACAATGAGTGTCCACAGCTAGGATCTGAGATGATGTTATAATGTATATAAATAATAATCCTACCACTCTTTTTCAAATTTCCATTTACAGAACACCACAGACCATCGAAGCAGGGACTTGTCTCAAATCCCACAGATGTCTCTGGCAAAGCACTAGACTGTGGTCTCCCATCTCCTGTTGCAGTAACCAATCCATCATTGGTTTCTAGTCAGAGAATGTAGGATGTTCTCCAGAGGAAGGATCTGCAACATTAGGAGCTCATGACTGGGTCATTTAAAACCAGCCTGTTCCTTGAAAGGAAAGATCTAAGAAAAGATCTTCAGAACCCAACCCACATCAGAATTCTCAGACTGAAATCAGAGAAGAATGTTAGCTGGTGCTACAAACAAGCAAGCAGCTGTGGCCAAATCGCCACAGTTGTTTGGCCTACACTAGAAAAATATTCTCAAATTTTGGCAATACAAACAAAGCTGACAATGGTCACCTACTTCAGGGTCAAGCCTTCCACTGGATTTTGTGGTATTTTGGTTTTTATCCAAATGTAATCCTTCCACGGTCTCTAATGACTGGACAGTTTGAGAGATCTTTGTAGAACCTAAGGGAATAAAGCCACAAAAATTATCCTATTATTTGGGAAGTAAAAATATTTCTAAGTCTATAAATTATTTCTGCTCAAGCTCTATCAGAAAGCCTCTTCTGTTACAGGTTTTAGCACCTTAGGAAAAGTCACAAAGTCCTCAGTAAAAAAGATGTAAAATAATAAGCACTGAACCACTTTTGGCACCAACAGGAGTTGGTGGAATGAGTGAGTACTTGATTCAAGGCCCCATTAACTGCTGACATGTTTACAAGCCACACTTTATTACTGAACATACTGGGAATTTGGCAGTAGAGAAGTCTGAATCTGTTCCAGACTAAAAAGGTGAATACATTCCTATCTTCATCTCATTTAACACTATAACTGCCACAGTCTAACTTTATCATGAAATTTTACAAACGGGAACATGAACTTAAAGGAGACAAGAACATTTAGCAATGGCTTCGCGTGACTTTTTCATACATCTAGGGGGAAAGGGGGAAGGTCCACAGCCAAAATCATAGCTATTCTCAGTTATTGTGAGCTGACTGGATCCCAGAATGATGGGGTTTCTGGTACTGAATGTCACCCTTAGGATTCAGAAGGTGCAGGTGAGGTCACATAAGGGTGATGTGGCAGCACAGGGCAACCACAGGCTCTGCAGGGCTTTCTCACAACACCGGGACAGCCCCTGCAAACAGCACACAGGATTCTCCTGTTTGTTTATAAGCAGCATAAATCAAGAACTCAGGTCTTACAAGTGGCATCATTCCTCCTGGAGATGTTTTAACACAAAGCAGCTGTGCTTTTACTGTGTAGGTGTGAGAAACATACACCTAGGATCTAGGAGCTGGCTGTGAACTCTTCATTTACAGAAGAGAAAAAGCCGATGAACCTGTGACTCACTAGTGGTGACACTGAGAATGAATCTGAGAAGGATGCAGGTGCAGGACTTACTTACTAGCAAACTCACTCCAGAAATTCTCAGAAATGGCCAAAGGAAAATCAGCAGCAGCTAAGAGGGACTGTGGTTGCACCAAGCTGATCACCAGTTGGGAAGGTTTCTCTCTTGAGGCCAGGCAGCAATGAGAACAAGGGTAGCAAACAGGGATCCAGAGTACCAGTGGCCAGAGGTAGGAGCTGCCATCTGGGAGCACTTGGAAAAAGCAAAATGAATCATGAGAGGACTTGACAGTACCAGCTTCCAGGACACT